CGACTACCAAAAAAGGATAATTTCGAAATAATGCTGGTGAATATGTCGGCGAAATGATTGTCGATGAAATGATTTTCAGCTAAATGGTTGTCGGTGAAATATTACGTCGGTGAAATGATTTTCGGTAAAATGATACGGACCCCATTTACTGCTCTAATTCTAAAAGATTTTTAGGCATGCACATTTCTACACTTCTTTTGACAATTGCCCAAAGATTTTTGATTGGGTTCAAGTCTTGAGCTATTGCTCTTGATTCATGTGTAGTAACTTTTTGGGGGTAACCGCTTGCTAATTTTCTTGAATTGTCCCCTTTTTTATTCAGTTTTTTAGATTATAATAGATAGTTGACAATGTGATGCCAGTTCTAGAATGTATTTTCTTTGCAGAAGTGATTCCATTCAGCCACAATTGTAATATATATATTTTTTTTGTTTTTTTATAAGAAGACATCATTGTAAAAGCAATTTCTCAACAAAAACAAAACAAATCCTTATTTAAAACTTATTTGTTTACAGTTTAGGACACGTTGTTTACATGTTTAAAATATGACGCATATTGCTTTTATTTTGGAAAAGTTATTGACAATTGAAGTACGCGAAAAAAATTTGTTACACACTGTATATTTTTATGCTTGATAGGATTTTTGGGCCTTTTAGTCAGTAAAATCTTTTCCTTAATAATGACTGATACTGAAGGATGGATATTAGACTTGATCAGATCCTGCAATCAATGAATAAATTTCTGGGCTAGCAAAATAGTGACTATTCTTTCATGCAAATTATTTCCTGCTTCAGTCTTATGTAAATGTATAACTTCTATTTCTGAACTAGATGTGGAAAAGTAACTGAATTGGAAGTATCTGAATCAGAAGTTGGTTTTGGCCACTCCAGATCTGCTGTGACATAGAGTTGTTCTTACCCTGCATGGCAGATAGGTCTGGAGCATCCATAGAACCCCAAGCAAGGTGTTTTGGGATTGTATCTTTTATGACCAATCCAAGTGGAGCTTTTTCTTCAGGAGTCAACTTTCTGCGTGATCCTACTTTTAGCTTTGGCATTTTATATTATATATACTTTTACCAATAGAATTAACCAGAGACTGGCAAATGCCTAATTACCCATTAATAGAATCAGTTTTGAAGATTTACATTCTTTCAAATTTAAATAAATCGTCATAATTATCAGCGCATGCATTGAAAATAAGCTTTATTGACCTATGGTTGATGTATATTAAGTTATTATCTGTTCTGTTCTTAGTTGAGGTAAAATGAGGTGTTTACCTTTTAATTTAATATTCAGGTTAAGCAATTGGTTCATTATTATATTTCAATCCAGTTATCAGTAATACGTTGAACATGTATACTTTTCTGGTTTTCTATTTGAGAGATTGTAGTTATGATTATAATTCAAATAATAGAATTGGAGCGAAACGAAGACAGTTAGGTAAAGCGATTTATTTTTGCTAGATAAAGCATGTATCTTTAATCGAAAAAAAAACAACAACTGATGTTTGGATAGATAATTAATTTAGGGGCAAATACACCACTTTCCTCTCGTCTAAAGGGAAGGTCCAATCCACGTCCTCTGGTTTCTACCTGATTCTCGGGTGACAACCACGGACTTTTCTGTATTGAATCTTGAAGATCTAACATTTCTTACTTCGAGGTGACTCCCTATTCCGAAAAAAGTAAAAAAATCTTGGTAATAAATAACATACGTTGATTGCTTGACGATTGAATTCATGTATAAGACAAGATTTTACAAGCAAATTTATGAGCAAATATATTGACCAAAATGTGCGGTCAATACATAGCGATAGACAGACTCAATAAGTCGGTTTTTGCCTAACCGGGTCAAAAATATTAAGCCTTTTTTTTCAATATTTAAATCTCTCGATCAACCTACCGTAGTGACTGACTAAAAGACCCGGGTGTTTACTTAGAGTTTTTTTTTAAATTGTTATAGCGTAAATAATTAAATATAGTACCAACCGAAATTTCACAACATTTACGCATCCGATTAAAAACCCTTTTCCTATCAAAGTACCCCAAAAATCCGGGGTAGTTTAGTCAGCGCCCACGATAATTTTTACTTTAATTTTATTCCGTTGAAATAATAAATTTTGATTGATCTCCTTTATAGTATGCAAATATACGTTGGTCAGATCTACTAGAGTTAGGGTCCACCTTTGATGCATATGCATATGCACGTTCACGTTATGCAAAATAGCTAATAGGTCCCACCTAATAAGGGACTGGGGCTCCTTTATGCAAATGAAGTGCAGAAAATTATTCGTACAAAGAAGTTTTATACACATAAACCAATAATAATGTCACTAAAACGAAGATTTTGCAATCTGGAGTGGATTTGGAGATATCGTATTTTTGCTTCAGCATTTATGGAATCCGGGCTCTGAGCAGGCCATGGTTGAAGGCATAAGTTTTTTTTCATCATCTAGGCTTTCATGACGTGTGGGATTGCAAGAATTCAAGTCATTCGAGTGATAGGTGGATCGAGTACATGATATTAAAGTATGCACTTATTTTCCCTACTCGCCACTTCTTACATAATTGAGATATCCAGCCTAGTGTTGAAATTGAGGTGGATGATAAACAATAACAAGCATGATCTACTATCTTCACTAAGGAAAAACCAAAGTAAAGAATGACAACTCATTGTTAAAAATGAATATATTGGAAAAGCTATAGAGAAGCAGCCGATCCCTAACATATGATGACAGTTCCTTCCCGCTATTTGACTATCTACCCACGGTCTAATGTACTAATATAACTGTCCTTCTTTTTAATATTTCTTTCATAAAACCCTTGTACTGTCGTCGTCTTCTTAGTATTCCCCTCCCAATGATCGAATGTCCAAAACTCATTTCCGCTAAACTAAAAATATTATCGATCAAAAGTTTGCTTGACCTGTGGAATAGTTTTGAAGAAAACATGTTCTTAGATTGAAGTGGACATTTTCTTAACATTCGAGATAATAAAGATTTTCATGCCATCTCTAATACTACCGTCGCACGCAACACGCGGCATGTCCGTTCGTAATAATTTTTCGCTCTCTTGACGGGTTGGTGCAAACTCACTATATATCGGAACCCGAATGTATCACAGATATGGATAAACGAACATTGGTCCATCTTGAAAACTTCCAGTAGGTCGTTGGAGCACAATGTGCCAATATCATATCTGTCTCATATTTGTTGTTTGAGGTTAAAACGATACAAAGCTTATTTATTAGACATGCCAGATGATATATAAAAAATAAAAGCTGAAACCACGCTCTCACCACCAATATGGTTAAGCGAAATGCTTTGTGCGTGAAAGGTTTACCGCCCATATAGTGGTCGCTGGGGACTTATGTCAATGAAATTATCGAAGGCCCAGACAGTGATCTTACCTTCGATCAAATACTCGCAAACTTCATAGAAAGCCTCAAACGTATAAACAAGTCATCTTCCATTCCGTTGTCGATCCGTAAAGCAATCGCTTGAAAGCGTACAGTAATTGGATAATATTTGGCGAACGACATTTATTTTTCTTATTCGTTTAGTTATTAAATTAAAAGTGACGCATATTGACATGTCAAATACCAAATCGAAGCATCACCCTGTTTATTAAAGGATAGTTCCCCTTCGATTCTATAGAATAGTATAGTTGTTAATATTATTCGTAGATTCCCTTACTTGGATACGAACGTTACGTATAGGGATTAGAAAGCGCGCATAATTAATTAATAAGAAACGTCACTGTAGCTTAGCATTCAGTCTTAGTCGATACTGTCGCTGTAGTAAGGGCAGCGGTAGCTGAGCTAATTGAGTCAGATCCCTCTGTCGGCCGAACCGCCTACAGTTCGCTCTCCCACAAATCTCCCTACGCCGACCGCAACAATTGTATTGGCATAGGAATTTGAGGCAAGTAATAAAATTGACGATAATGATAGATTCCACAAACAAGCCCTTGTCCCCTGCAATATTTAGCGACTGCTTCTGATAATGTCTAAAAAGTAGAGACACATTAGTCTCTCCCATGTGTAAATCATCCACTGGATCTCCGTTTTTGAAAGAAATTCACATGGAACATCATCAATTATGATATTTTTCTCCTCCTCAATGAATGGATTTTCCCCTTCGATGGATATATCATTGGACTACCATCCAACTGGTGATACTGCTTTCTTCTTTTTCTGACATCCTGTCCGTCACGAGCTAAGTCAGCCAATATTACTGATGCTTCATTATGTTCCACTACCGTCTCTTTCAAGACATCAAGAGACCTCTTATTCTACATAAACATAATATTTGTTAGTGATAATATTAAATCTAGAAGCATAAAGTCAAACCCTTTACCATGATCAAGCATTTATCCGACTATTGCATGGGAGAAAGAATTTAAATTAAGCTTAGCCTTGCGAGTACAGGCTAAAAGAAACAATTTTCATTATCTGTATTTCACGAACTTTTGCATCAACTACTTTCTTTTTAAATTCCGCTTTTTCATCTGCAAAAATACCTGCCCAGAAACCATGGATACGTCCGCCAGGATTTGAATCATTCTCAAAAAAAAAAGTTATTTCGGGTTACCTCACGCTTCTGCAAGTTTATTATTATTGAATATATAACTAACAATCCCGAGCTGTAATCATATGGACGGATTTCGGCGGAACGTATTCCATCACCACTCAGGATCGTAATCCAGTAGCTAGCCAAAATCCCAGCGGAACGTATTCCATCACCACTCAGGATCGTAATCCAGTGGCTAGTCCTTGAAAACTGAATTCCCTTGCAGCTTCCGGTAAAGAAAAAATTTCTTGGGTATTTCCGGGATGGATTCGAACCTCTGGCCCCTGATTAAGAGTCAGATGCTTATTTTCGTTATTCTGTGGTTGTCCCGTGTTCATTTATAGTTTAGAATAAGACGCATACCGGCTTCTCAGCTAGACAAATTACATGGGCAGATACCGTAGTTCTCATGCTCTTTGTCAACCGCCATATACAGTGGTGTGCAAAAAAAAATGAACTTTTTTTTCGAAAAAAGATCGACAGGCGTAACTTGCCCAATTTTGATTAGATTTACACAAATAA